CCTGTAAAACACCTGTATCCCTTTATAACATGATAAACCCTTGTAACCCCGTTTAAACAATGTATAAACCTGTATCCCTCTTATAACACCTGTATAACACCTGTATGCCCTTATAACACCTGTATATCACCTGTATGCCTTTTATAACACCTGTATAACACCTGTATGCCTCTTATAACACCTGTATAACACCTGCATAACACCTGCATGACACCTGTATAACACCTGTATGCCTCTTATAACACCTGTATAACACCTTTTAACACCTTTATAACACATGTATAACACCTGTATGCTTCTTATAACACCTGTATAACACCTGTATGCCTCTTATAACTCCTCTATAACACCTGTATAACACCTGTATAACACCTGTTTAACACCTGTATGCCTCTTATAACACCTGTGTAACACCTGTATAACACATGTATAACACCTGTTTGCCTCTTATAACACCTGTATAACACCTGCGTAACACCTGTATAACACATGTATGCCTCTTATAACACCTGTATAACACATGTATGCCTCTTATAACTCCTGTATAACACCTGTATAACACCTGTATGCTTCTTATAACACCTGTATAACACCTGTATAACACATGTATAACACCTGTATAACACATGTATAACACCTGTATGCCTCTTATAACACCTGTATAACACCTGTATAACACATGTACAACACCTGTATAACACCTGTATAACACCTGTATAACACCTGTATGCCTCTTATAACATCTGTATAACACCTGTGTAACACCTGTATAACACATGTATAACACCTGTATGCCTCTTATAACATCTGTATAACACCTGTGTAACACCTGTATAACACATGTATAACACATGTATAACACCTGTATAACACATGTATAACACCTGTATGCCTCTTATAACATCTGTATAACACCTGTGTAACACCTGTATAACACATGTATAACACCTGTATGCCTCTTATAACACCTGTATAACACCTGTATAACACATGTACAACACCTGTATAACACCTGTATAACACATGTATAACACCTGTATGCCTCTTATAACATCTGTATAACACCTGTATAACACCTGTATAACACATGTACAACACCTGTATAACACCTGTATAACACATGTATAACACCTGTATGCCTCTTATAACACCTGTATAACACATGTATGCCTCTTATAACTCCTGTATAACACCTGTATAACACCTGTATGCCTCTTATAACATCTGTATAACACCTGTGTAACACCTGTATAACACATGTATAACACCTGTATGCCTCTTATAACATCTGTATAACACCTGTATAACACATGTATAACACCTGTATAACACATGTATAACACCTGTATAACACATGTATAACACCTGTATAACAACTTGTTCTTCCCTGGCAGAACCTGCTGTTCTATTCGGAGGGGGAGGCGAGCGCTAAACCCTCAGGGGTGATCATGTTGGAGGGCTGTTACTGTGAGCGTCTCATCACCACCAACACCAACACCAAGAACAAGGACACGGACAAGCAGGTACGTGACGCCAGGTTCCTGATCCCAGGTACGTGGCACCAGGTTCCTGATCCCAGGTACGTGACGCCAGGTTCCTGATCTCAGGTACGTGAGGCCATGTTCCTGATTCCAGGTACGTGGCACCAGGTTCCTGATCTCAGGTACGTGAGGCCAGGTTCCTGATCCAAGATACATGATGCCAGGTTCCTGATCCCAGGTACATGAGGACAGGTTCTTGATCCCAGGTACGTGGCGCCAGGTTCCTGATCCCAGGTACGTGGCGCCAGGTTCCTGATCCCAGGTGCATGACGCCAGGTTCCTGATCCCAGGTACGTGACACCAGGTTTTTGATTCCAGGTACGTGACGCCAGGTTCCTGATCCCAGGTACGTGATGCCATGTTCCTGATCCCAGGTACGTGGCACCAGGTTCCTGATCTCAGGTACGTGAGGCCAGGTTCCTGATCCCAGGTACGTGAGGCCATGTTCCTGATCCCAGGTACGTGGCACCAGGTTCCTGATCTCACGTACGTGAGGCTAGGTTCCTGATCCCAGGTACGTGAGGCCAGGTTCCTGATCCCAGGTACGTGAGGCCAGGTTCCTGATCCAAGGTACGTGAGGCCAGGTTCCTGATCCCAGGTACGTGAGGCCAGGTTCCTGATCCAAGGTACGTGACGCCAGGTTCCTGATCCCAGGTACAAGACGCCAGGTTCCTGATCCCAGGTACGTGAGGCCAGGTTCCTGATCCAAGGTACGTGACGCCAGGTTCCTGATCCCAGGTCCGTGATGCCAGGTTCCTGATCCCAGGTACGTGAGGCCAGGTTCCTGATCCAAGGTGCGTGACGCCAGGTTCCTGATGCCAGGTACATGACGCCAGGTTCCTGATCCCAGGTACTTGAGGCCAGGTTCCTGATCCCAGGTACGTGATACCATGTTCCTGATCCCAGGTACATGACTCCTGGTTCCTGATCCCAGGTACGTGACGCCAGGTTCCTGATCCCAGGTACATGACTCCTGGTTCCTGATCCCAGGTACGTGACGCCAGGTTCCTGATCCCAGGTATATGACTCCTGGTTCCTGATCCCAGGTACATGACTCCTGGTTCCTGATCCGAGAGACGTGACGCCAGGTTCCTGATCCCAGGTACGTGACGCCAGATTCCTGATCCCATGTACGTGGCGCCAGGTTCTTGATCAAACGACTGGGAGCTGGTCACTGACATAATGATCATCGTAATAATAATAATAATAATAATAATAATAATAATAATAATAATTAGCTACTACTGTTTACACCAACAGACACATGGTTCCTGTTTACGTCTGTACTTACCGTTACTCCAACAGTTCTGCTTCGCTATAACGTACCGTCGTGAGAACCAGCGTCAGTACGACCTCAAGGCGGAAACGGAGACGTCTTGCAAGAACTGGATCGACATCATACGTCAAGCGTCCTTTAACAAGTTGCTGCTGCAGAAGGAGGAGCTGGAACAGAAACACTTGCATCTGTTGCACATTGTTGAGAGCGAGAAAACTGCCAAGTGGCAGTATACTCAGCAGTGTGAGGAACTTACCTCAGAGATCAAGAAGCTTAGAGCTGAGGTAAGTGCTAGTGTAGTGAGGTAAGTGCTAGTGTAGTAAGGTAAGTGCTAGCATACTGTTATAAGTGGCAGTATACTCAGCAGTGTGAGGAACTTACCTCAGAGATCAAGAAGCTTGAGCTGAGGAAATCTTTTTTTGGTGAGGTAATGTAGTGTGAAAGGAAGTGCTAGTTTTACTGTTTAAGTGGCATTTTACCTCAGCAGTTGAGGAATTACCTTCCCCAAAAGAAGCTTAGGCTGAGGTAAGGTTAGTGTATAGGAAAGTGTTGTGTAGTAAGGAAAGTGTGTGTGTAAGGAAATTTTTAGTATTTTATAAGTGGGGAAATTAGAGTTTGGAATTCTGAATAGAAGTTAGGCTGGGTAAGGTTTTAGTGTTGGGGTTTAAAAGGAAAGTGTTAGTGTAGTTAAGGTAAGGTTTGTAGTAAGGAAAAGTGTAGTTTTGAAGGTAATGTAGTGTAGAAAGGTAAGTGCTGAATATGTTAAAGTGGCAGTATACTCAGCGTGTGAGGAACACCTCAGGAAAAGGGAAGCTTAGAGCGGGTAAGTGTTAGTGTAGAAGGAAAAGTGTTAGTGAAAAGGGTAAGTTTTAGTGTAGTAAGGAAAGTGTTAGTGTAGAAAGGAAAGTGTTAGTGTAAAAGGTAAGTTTATGAGTAGGTAAGTGCTAGGTAGAATTAAGTGTATGTAGTAAGGTAAGTGTGGTATAAGGAAAGTGTAGTGTGTAGGTAAGTGTTTAGTGTGTAAGGTATTTTTAGTGTAGTAAGGAAAGTGTAGTGTGAAAGGTAAGTGCTGCATACTGTTATAAGTGGCGTTACTCAGCAGTGTGGGGGAACTTACCTCGAGATCAAGAAGCTTAGGCTGGGGAAAGTTTTTTGTGTTGAGGTAAGTGTTATTTACTTGGGTAAGTGTTAGTGTAGTAAGGAAAGTATGTGTAGGTAAGGTAGTTGAAAGTGGGTATTAAAAAGGTTTGGGGGAACTTATAAGTGAAGTTAAGCTGGGGAATTTAGGTTGAAGGTTGGGGTGTATAGGTGTGTTGTGTAAGGTAAGTGTTATGTGTAAGGTAAGTGAAGGAGTGGTAATTTTTAGTGTTATTTAATTAGTTGTTAAAATTTGGTTTTTGGTGTGGGAATTTGGTCGGTTGGCTGGGTGTGTTAGTTAAAAGTGTGTTGTGGGTAAGGTAAGTTTAGTTGTGGAAAGTGTAGTGTGAGGAAGGATGTAGTAAGGTGTCTGTTTTTTAAAAGTGGGTTTCGAGTGTGGGGATTTCGGTTTCCCTTGGTGGGGGTAAGTGTTTTTTGGGGTTTTTTTAGGTTTTAGGTAATTTTTATTTTTAATTGCTAGTGTGTAAGGAAAAGTGTAGGTAGTAAAATAAGTGGTAGTTTTAGAAAGGGTAAGTGCGAGTGTAGAAAAGAAGTGCTAGTGCCAGAAAGGGTTTTAAAGGCTTGTAGAAAAGGTAAGTGCTAGTGTGGGGTGGTAAGTGTAGTGTAGTAAGGAAGTGCGAGTGTAGTAAGGTAAGTGTGTGTAGTGGGGAAAGTGCTAGTGTAGTAAGGTAATGCTAGTGTGTGGAAAGTGTGTGTAGAAGGGTAAGTGCTAGTGTAGAAAAGGTTTTAAGTGCTAAATATGTTTTAATGGCAGTATATCAGCGTGTGAGGAATTACCTCAGGATCAAAAAAGCTTAGAGCTGGGAAATGTTAGTGTACTGAGGAAAGTGTTAGTGTATGAGGTAAGTGCTAGTGTGTAAGGTAAGTGCTAGTGTAGTAAGGTAAGGCTAGTGTGTAAGGTAATTGCTAGTGTAGTAAGGTAATGTTAGTGTATGAGGTAAGGCGGTAGTATTTTAAGTGCTAGTGTAGTAAGGAAAGGTGTTTAAAATAATAAGTGTAGTGTAGTAAGGTAAGTGCTGTGTAGAAGGTAAGTGTAGTGTAGTAAGGTAAGTGCTAGTGTGAAAGGAAGTGCTGTGTAGTAAGGTAAGTGCTGTGTAGTAAGTAAGTGCTAGTTGTAAGGTAAGTGCTAGTTTTTAGTAAGGAAAGTGCTAGTGTAGAAAGGGAAAATCTATTAGAAAGGTAATGCTAGTGTGAAAGGAAAGTGTTGTGTGTAAGGTAAGTGCTAGTGTAGTAAGGTAAGTTTAGCATATGTTTAAAGTGGCAGTATATCAGAGTGTGAGGAACTTATCAGAGATAAAGGGAAGTTGAGTGAGGAAAGTGTTAGTGTAGAGGTAAGTGTTAGTGGGGGTAAGGTAAGTGCAGTGTGTAAAGGTTGCTGCATCTTTTATAAGGGGGGCAGTATACTCGCAGTGGGGGAAACTTACTCAGAGATAAAGAAGCTTAGAGTGGGTAAGTGTTAGTGTACTGAGGTAAGTGTTAGATCTGAGGTAAGTGTAGTGTAGAAAGGGTAAGGTAGTGTGTAAGGTAAGTGCTAGGTGAAAGGTAAGTGTAGGTTTTAAAGTAAGTGTTAGTGTACTGGGTAAGTGTAGTGTGAAAGGAAATTGTTAGTGTAGTAGGTAAGGCTGTTTTTAAAGGTAACGTAGTGTGTAAGGTAAGTGTATGTATAAAAAAATTTGTTTTTTGGAAAGTGCTAGTTATTTAGGCTAGTGTGAAAGGTAAGGGGTTTTTGGAAAGGAAAGTGCTAGTGTGAAGGTAAGTGTAGTGTAGAAAGGAAAGTGCTAGTGTATAAGGAAAGTGCTAGTGTAGTGGTTTTGCGTGTGTAGAAATTTAAAGTGTTAGTGTGTAAGGTAAGTGCTAGGAGTAAGGTAAGTGTAGCATACTGTTTAAGTGGAGTTTTACTCAGCAGGTGAAAAAATTCCCTCGAGTTTCAAGAAGCTTAGAGTGAGGTAAGTGTTATGTACGGGAAAGTGTTAGTGTATAAGGAAATTTATGTAGTAAGGTTGGTAGCATATGTTATAGTGGCAGTTTTCCCAGCATTTGTGGGAACTTCCCTCAGAGATCAAAAAGCTTAGGGGGGGAAGTGTTGTGTACTGGGAAAGTGTTATTTAAATGAGGAAAAGTGCTAGTGTAGAAAGGAAAGTGCTGTGTGTAAGGTAAGTGTAGTGTAGTGGAAAAATGCTAGTGTAGTAAGGAAAGGTTAGTGTACTGAGGTAAGTGCTTTTAGAAAAGGTAAGTGTTAGTGTAGTAAGGTAATGTAGTGTAGAAAGGTAACTGCTATTTGTGAAAGGTAACAAAGTGTAGTAAGGAAATGCTAGTGTAGTGGAAGTGCTGTGTGAAAGGAAAAGTGTTTTGGTAGTAAAGGGAAAGTGTTTGTGTGAAGGTAAGTGCTGTGTAGTATGGAAAGTGCTGTGTAGTAAGGTAAGTGCCGTGTAGAAGGTAAGTGTAGTGTGTAGGTAAGTGTTAGTGTACTGAGGAAAGTGTTGTGTACTGAGGAAATTGTAGTGTGAAAGGTAATGTTAGTGAACTGAGGTTGTTTGTGTGTAAGGAAAGTGTTAGTGAATGAGGTAATGTAGTGTAGAAAGGAAAAGTGCTAGTGTAGTAAGGAAGTGCTAGTGTAGTAAGGTAAGTGTAGGTGTAGGTAAGTGCTAGTGTAGTAAGGAAGTGCAGGTGTAGGAAAGTGTTTGTGTACTGAGGTAAGTGTTGTGTACTGAGGTAAGTGTAGGTAGTAAGGTAAGTGTATTTGGGTTTAAGTGTAGTGTGTAGTAAGGTGTGCTATTTGTAGAAAGGAAAAGTGCTAGGTGAAAGGTAAGTGTAGTGTAGAAAGGGTAAGGTTAGTGAACTGAGGAAATTTGTAGTGTAGTAAGGTAAGTGTAGTGTAGTAGGTAATTTTAGGTAGGGGTAAGTGTTAGTGTACTGAGGAAAGTGTTGGGGGTTGAGGTAAGTGTTAGTGTATTGGTAAGTGTTAGTGTCTTAGGAAATGTTATTGTCTGGGTAAGTGTTAGTGTTATGGGGTAAGTGTTGGTTTAGGTAAGTGTTGTGTATTAGGAAATGTTGTGAAGAGGTAAGTTTTTGTGTATTGAGGAAAGTGTTAGTGTATGGGTAAGGGGGCTGTGTACTTGGAAAATTTGTGTACGGGAGGTAAGTGTTAGTGTTTTGGTAAGTGTTTGTACTTGGGAAAGTGTAGTGTCGAGGTAAGTGTTAGTGTAGGGGAAGGTTTAGTTATGGGGAAAATTGCTTGCATTTAGGTAAGTGCAGTGTCTTAGGCAAGTGCTAGTGTACTTAGGTAAGTGTAGTGTACTAGGAAAGTGTTGTGTCCCGAGGTAAGGTTAGTGTCTTGGAAAAGTTAATGTTTGAGGTAAGTGTAGTGTACTTATTTAAGTGCTTTGTTATTAGGTAAGTGTTTTGGTTTACTAGGTAAGTGTAGTGTGTGAGGAAAGTGTAAGTGTACTTAGGAAAGTGGAGTGTACTTAGGAAAGGCTAGGTATTAGGTAGGGTAGTGTACTTAGGTAAGTGCTGGTGTACTTAGGTAATTTTAAAAGTATGGGTAAGTGTGTTTACTTAGGTAAGTGTTGTGTACTTGGAAAAGTGTTAAAATTGTACTGAGGAAAGTGCTATTTACTTAGGTAAGTGTTAGTGTTTTAGGTAAGTGTTAGTGTATTAGGTAAGTGTTTGTGTACTGAATAAGGAAGTGTACTTAGGAAAGTGCTATTTTACTTAGGTAAGTGCAGGTACTGAGGAAAGGCTAGTTTTTTTAGGTGTGTAGTGTTTCTTAGGTAAGAGTAGTCCCTTTAGGAAGTGGAAGTGTACTGAGGAAAGTACATTTTTTCTTAGGTAAGTGTAGTTACTTAGGTAAGGGCTAGGTTCTGGGTAAGGCTTTTGTTCTGGGAAAGTGTACTGTATTTAGGTAATGTAGTGTACTTAGGTAAGTGCTAGTGTACTTAGGTAAGTGCTAGTCACTGAGGTAAGTGCTAGTGTACTGAGGTAAGTGCTACTGTACTTAGGTAAGTGCTAGTGTACTTAGGTAAGTGGTAGAGTACTTAGGTAAGTGGTAGTGAACTTAGGTAAGTGGTAGTGTACTTAGGTAAGTGCTAATGTACTTAGGTAAGTGGTAGTGTACTTAGGTAAG